ACGGCGAAAGCGACGGCGAGGATGAGGGCGACGGCGAGGGCGAGGATGCTTTAAAGGGCGACGAGTCGACTTTCAACAGAGTCCGTTATGCTCGTCTTGTCTGCAACACGCACCCATCGCCAGGCAACTAGTCTAGAGGCGGGAAGAAGAGTCGACTTTATCTCTGCCCAACTGGCCGGCATACGCCCAGTTTGCAGAAAGCCCAATCATTGAAAAGGCAGCGCCATGACGATGGGCGTTGCGAGGCCAACTAAGGCGTAGACTTGACGAGTGTTGGGTCGAGGGGCGGGACAGACGCGCAGTTTCATCATGTGCTCTGGGCCCTACAGTTGCCCGGTTGCATGTTGGCCAACCTGTAATCCATTCGCGAAATTCCCCACATTGCGACTGGCTCGGTTGCCAACGCCTCGTCGTCTTGCCAACTGCGCATCATTTGTCGACAGCCCAACTTTGCGGTTGCCTGCCTTCTGCCCTTCTGCTTTTGGCCAGACGCAATGGCCGGGGAGGGGCTGAAAGCGGACTCCGCCCAGTCTCCAGCCTACCGGAAATGGTACCTTTTCCCTTGACCTCCTAATTCCCTTTTCAGGTTGTCCTGCTCTCTCTTTCTGTACAAACCAATAGAAGTGGACAGATGAATAGACATCGAATGTCCCTTGATTCTCTTTAGAAACTGATAGTTGAGTTCGAATCCCGACGGAAGAGACACGCTTTTGGTAGACATTGTGCGGTCTGTTCATTTGCTTGCGAGAAAAACTCAACCATCATACCAACTTCATAAACTGCAACTTTGCCGATTGCCATAATTGAGTCTTGTTGGAAGCGCCACAACATGGCTAGTGTTCGAGTCCCGTTGAGGCTGCTGAAATGACAATTGAGCGCTGAGCGAGAATGAGGCTGCTTCCGATGGAAATACGGCCAAATGGCATTGACACATCGAAAAGTTATGCTCTCTGTATCTGTCACTTGACTTTGTTTCCATCAGAAGTGGCCTCTATTATCAATTCAGCAACCTCTGCTATGGTAACGGCATAATCTCAGTTGCAGAACTTGGTCTGATAGTTGAGCTGTTTCCACAAACGCTTGTCCTGTCCACTGGGACTCGAGCTCGCCTCGTAAGTATCGTGATGATGTTTGCCACGCCAAATTTGACAACCTTAATCTCTTCTTAACGAACTAATGATAGTCTTGATAACTACTCGTCATCTAAACCTCAAGACCTATCTTCCGTTGAAGCACGTTGGCGACAAGTAAGAGTGTGACTCAAGCTCAATTTAGACTCTTCAAAGTGTTGTCATTGTGCATGGCTTCTATTCCACCCTACAAACATGAAATATATCATTTAGTCGGTGATTGGTCAGATGTGGTGCCGATCAAACCTTGTCTTCCCAAAGCTTATCTCTTTCAGGCTGTAGGGCAATTGGAAGAAACTCAACGATCAGTCCTTAAATCACTTTAAATGACCTAGCCTGACCCACTTCTTATCATGAATGTGGTGAAGATCTAGAGACTTAGTTGCCGGAAAGACGTACAAGTTTGCCTCATAGACCCGAGAACCCTTGTGGAAATCTGGTCACCCCATGTTTCCCGGGTTCAAATCCCGCCGGGGCTGTGGATGAGGTCAGCTCGAGCGAAGACGAAACTACAGCCCATTTTATTCCGGACCAGTCGTGTCAAGATGAGAAAAGCCAATGGAAATCCGAGTCCTACTTAAGCGAATGTGGACGGATTAACCACCTCTTACCGTTGAGAATAGATGGAACTCTGTCTCAACAAGGCCAACCGTAACCTTAGGCCCAACTGGGTCTCGTTGGTGGGCAAAGTTGACTGAGCGCTGAGGAGACACATTTTGCTAAATTTATTATCAGCACCATCATCAAAAGCATTGCCAAAACGACCTCAATTCCAAAAATCTTTCAACGTCTCAGCTCCGGGCTCGGGAGAAGTAGAATGCGAACTAACAAACCATAAACAAAGATCACGAATCAGGACTCGAACAGGCATTTCAACAATTATGGCAATGTGCAACAAGCATGCGAAATGTAGAGTAAACGAAAGCAGCTGCTAGTAGACCAGACTCGTTCAAGAATATCAGATTATCAAAAACCGATGATAGGAAGCTCCGTTTGTCAAGATCATCATCATCACCTACTTCAACATGGCAATAATCAAGCTCATTTCTATCATTTCTTGTCATCCTATGAACAAAGATAGCTCTACACATTTCCGAATTCATTAAAATCAACACGCCCATCATATAATCTATGATTATTGTTCAAACTTGGGCCTCGAACCCAGGAATTTGACAATAGGAATTAAGCCTGAGTGACGTGCAGTCGAGAACGACAGAGGTACGTAAGCAAAAGTCAATTCTAATGGCCAGGATACTAATTGACACTAGGATATTCCGTTTTTCACAATCAGCATCATCTCTGTCATCATTAATTTTTCAACCATAATTATGCTAACCATCGTTAAAATTATCTTTTTTGCTAATATCTCTTGTCGTCCCGTTAACAAATTTTACCTTAAACATCTCCGATTTCACAAAAATCAACATAATGACCATCAAACCTATGACTGCTGCTCAGACTCGGGACTCAAACCCAGGAATTACTTAATGCATTTTGTCATAAGCATTGCACTATCTATGGCCGTGCAGAACAAGTTTAGTTGATGTAGAGTCAAATAGGACAACTGCAAACTCAGTAATTAATAACTGAACTTCCTATTATCATCATCAACATCATTATCAACTCTTACTTCGCTATAGTCCTAATCACACTCTAAGCATTATAGCTTTGCAAATCCTTAAAATCACAACCACTAAATCCAGCAATTATATTCGAAATTGGAACTAAAATCTGGCAATTTTCAATGCCTATTCTCCCAGACAATTCGACAAATATGCCAATGCCGAGCAAGCATACTCTAATGCTAACCAAAAGCATATAAAAGTTGACTTGTTTTGTTTGGCAATTTCAGCCACGATTTTATTGAGTTCGGTTCCCATGCGTCCCGGGCCTAACTTGCAGCCTTTACAACCTCACGCCAGTTTTATTCATTTTTCTTTGACCCTATTCAAAAACACTTCCAGCTAGGCTTCTCTGGTTGAAGTCCATTCATTTTTCTTTCGCCAAAATCCTCAAAATACTACTGTTAAATCCAGGCATCGTAGATACGAGAGACAATTGGTATGAGGATGAGGCTTACTTCCAGGCCGTCTGGGTTATAATTAAACATGACTCCGGTTGCTAAGGCAAGACCAACTAGCAGGTTTTGAACCTCCATCCTGTTGGAGTTGACTGAGGAAATCGTTTCGATAATGAATGGGCTAATCTTGCACTTTTGAAGCAAGTTTATCCAAACATAAACTGAGTTTTCTTATGTTTTCGCCTCAATTGTGTCTTCTTCCTAGTCACTTCCTCCATCGCAGACAGGCTGTGCTCACAGAATCCTGAATTAAGGCATGTTCTGGTCTCTTTATGGACCAAAATTGGTGTTGTGTTGGGCTCACTTTCATTTATAGCAAATGTGTGCGATTAAAACATTCGAGGAGCAGCCCAATTCGATGACTATGCCGGATTTCTCCTGCTCCAGCTTTCGTTTAGCTCCACTAGAACTTTATGGTTGATGCCATCTCGCCGTCCGCTTTGAATTTGGTGAAAACCTCAGAATAAGGCATTATATTTGCAATTAATATTATCTAAAAAGTTAGGAAATCCCTTCTGTCTATCTATAAATGCTGCATAAACATGTTAAATTGAGGAATTTTTCTGATCTATCGAGTTTAAATCATTCGCCAATTCAGAAACATGTACGTGTGGTGTCGTCTTGCGAGTGTTTCACTTAAAATGGAAGTGAATGCAACAATTGTAGACCAAGAAAAT